TTGAACACTCACACAGCAATTTATAGGGGTGATTTTTCTTCTTTAAGAGTTGCACGTTCATTTAGTAACACAATGATTTTTTTAAACTATTATAAAATGACTTTGAAAAGTGGATATCTTTTTTCATATAAAAAAATGAAATAATTCTGTTAATATGCATTATATTAAATAGCCGTGTGAAGCATTCGACAGATATTTTTCTACAAATTTTAAAAAAATGATTACCCTCCGATTATTAGGAACCGAAATAACAATTTTTTTTCAAAAAATTATGTGGCTCTAATTTTTAAATTTAAAGATAGATGTATATCAGCCAATGTGAGCCAACACAGGTTAAGCGTGAAATTGTATACTTTATTCTTAAGAAAAATTGACAAATGTTTCAACCCTTTCGATTGGGTCTTTCTCAGTGTAAAAATAAAATCGGTGACGTATAAATTTAATATAAAAAATGCGATGCTAAATTTGTAAGATGAGTTCCATCTAGCACCAATTTGTCAAGGAAAAATTGAATTTGCTGTTAAGAAATTCTCGAATTTTTTGCTACCAAAACGTGTGTTTAAAATCATTAGAAAGTTGAGGAACGCGAAGATGGCAGCGTGCTGGACTGAGTGAAGAAGGGCCGCTCAGCGACTCGCGCTATCTGATTTTGTGTATTAAAATTTGTTAAATTTACATTTTTTCAGCAATAAATTGACATAAAAACATGATTTTTTTTAGATCTCGAAATAGCCCGACAAAATGTAAACAAATGTTTCGCAAGCTTAAGCAAATGTTTCGCAAAGTAATTGTAACTATGAAATTTTTAGTTTTCTTTTTTTTTCTTGAATTTTTATTTTTTCGGTTTATTACTAAAAAATTATGTTTGAGTATGGAGTGCTTATCTCATTAACAAATTTAAATCACATGAATAATGTTTCTTTATATTTGACATGCTGCACCGGACTTCATTGGACTTCACTGGACTTCATTGGACTTTATCAGACTTCGAGAAATTCCTCGGACTTCATCAGACTTCTGACAGATTGTACATCGGAATTCAAGAGCGGTTACCTCCTCGAGTATTATCCAATCATGCGCGGATTGCCGGATTTACCCAATAGATAAAATTTACCAAAAGGTAGAACAATCGTGTTTTAGACACTTTATCATAACGAATTTGTTATACGAAAATTGACACTAACGTGCAACTACGTGTATCAGGTTGCGTGAGATATTGGTATGGTAATATATAAACTATTCTATTATAGTCAGCAACACATAATATTTACGAAATATTTACAAAATATTTATAAATATACTAATAAGATTTATTTTAAATATTTTGTAAATATTTTTGTGGTCTTGGATTGCACAGATCATAAACATTTATTGTAAATGTTACAGTAAATGCTACGAAAATACTTAATGAGACATTATATCCTTATGAAAAAGAACTACTGCTGACTACACAAAACTATTATTGATAATCACATAGCAATATTACAAGATATCACAGAAAATGTTACAGGAAATGTTACAAATCACATGATATATTACTGAAAATTACAAAGCAATATCAATGATTATTTCGAACCACTGCCGCAATAATGCTGTAAATTACTGCCTACACAGTAATGCCAGGAATACATGCGCATTTATTGCTGTGTTTAGCAGACTCAATAATTGAGTGAATGCTCGCTGTTATTTATGAACTTTTCTAGATCATCCAAACAGATTTTTAGATCTAGAAAAATACATACGTAGCAGTGAACGCTCAACTATTGAATCTATTGAATACCTGTTCTG